AGTAGCTCTCTCATATAATGCATAATGCTGATTCTTTTAGTCTTACATCGCCTAGATTATGTCTTCGGTTCCTGGATTCAAAAACTAAAAGAAAACAATAGCTCTCAGATAATGCATAATGCTGATTGAAACTCAATATAAAAAAACATAAGAAGAGGCTTACTGATATATCTGTAATAAAATGCAGAGAACACAGTGGGTTCAGTTTCCCAACCTTTTCAAGATTCTGCTCTTTTGGTAATCAAGGGTTACTTAAAGGTAAAGTAAATTTTCCTCTCAGTTCTGAGGTCTCAGGTTCGATTCCTAGACTTGGCATAACATGTGAGCAGACATTGTTAGGTCTCTCGTTGGGATCGAAGGTTTTCTGGGATTTCCTTTCCTTCAAAATAACACTCATTACTACGCGGACACGTTAACCGGGGCAAATTGAATAAAACTGACCAATCAGATAACAGTAAACTGGACAGAGATTGAACTGATAACAGCATTAGCCAATCAGATTATCACGTTCTCACGCTCTTATAATATCGATGCGCTATCTGATTGGCTGGTTAAATATATTGAACTAAATGTCGCAATATGATTGGTTAATATATAAGTTTATCAAAGTGGTCCTGGTTGGAGTATGCACACAGTAACTGAATTGTTACAAAGAAAGTGTGCAAGGGATTCTGGAAGTAGTAGTACATGATGTCATAATGCAAAAGACCTATAAACAGCAAAGCAAAAATACCTTTGACCATATTGTCTGTTCTTTTAGTCCAGACCGGAGGGTTTTGAGCAAACCGGATACATAAATCATGTAATATCTTGAACAAATCTGGATGTTGCTGCAAGAAGAAAAAACTAGACTTAAAAAATATAATATACACTCGATTGCAAAATCATTGTCTGGTTCAAAACACAGAACACAGAACATACTCTTTTACTCCGACGAAGGACTAGCGTCTGAAACGTCAGTAAGTTTTTCCATTTTTTCACGGTGTATGATTTACCCTTTTATCATTACTGTTCCCAATGATTGTTGGGTGGGGTATTGTTGAGAGTGCTCACCTCTCACCAATGTGACCCGGGTTCGAGTCCCACTGAGCTTGGTGTTGTATGTGAGTAGAGTTGCTTGTTGGTTCTCTCCTGTGCTTCGAGGGTTTTCCGGGTTCTCCGGCTTTCTTCCCTCTGTAAAAATCAACTCCTAAATTTTAACTGGAATCCAGTTGAAGAAGAGCCACTCTGTGGAATCCACTGTTAATCCCATTATTTTTATTATTTTTATTATTATTATTATTATTATTTTGAAATTGAGTCAGTATATTGATTAAAAGAAGGTGATCTGTAGGTCTATGTCTCAATCACAAAGTAATTTATATTTAATGCCATTCTCCCATAGTTGACATTGATTATATTAAGCTAAAACTTTGCCTTCTACTAATATTGAGGTATTCATTTCATTTCAATTGTTCACTTTGACACACCTAGTCAATTTACATTACAATGTGCAAACATCAAACGAGCGTTTGCATGTCTCATTTGGTAAAACCAGCCGGAATGTGTCAGTTTAATGTACAGAATCTGTGCATAAAGTATGCAAATACATTAAATGTGGTCACACTTTTGCACGTTGCACTATAAGGGTGGTAGGGTCAAATGACCTGTGAGTGCAGTTAAGTTGTTAATTATACAGCTTCTCATTAATCCCATATAGGTAACTCTCCAATTATTTTCTTAATTGGACCTAGGTCTTGTTGATATGGGATTAATTAGGCAGCTATATAATTAATAGGTAATGGGATTTCATGCTCCCCAATCAAGAAATAATTAGACTCGAAAAATTCCTCCGACTGCCAAATTGGACTTGACCTATGTCTCGGCCTACCTCTCTGTCCCAGTTATCAAGGTATGGGGTGGAAATCTTCCCACGGCCATTCACATAGGGGACATTCTTGTCAAGTATCATATTTGCTGTTGGTTTGACGTAGATAATAGGCGCTGAGAGTGGGTAGTCTTCCATTAACATTACGCGAAGGGGAATGTGGTAGGTGAATCCTAACAGTCAAAACAAAAAAGAAAATGAGATCTAGATATTAAGTTACTTAGAACCTGCATTTTATCTTGTTTAGTATAAAGCCATTAAGAGCAAAAAGTGCTAGCACATGCAGAATCATCATTGCCGCAAAGTTAAGGCTTTATTGGATGTCAATCACGTGGCATGGGTGGCATTTCGCTTGCCTCTCACTCCTTTGGTCCGGGTTTGAGCCCCAGTTCAGACAACTGCATCATATAATGTGAGTTGAGTTCATTTGACGTGTTGTTCTATCACCTGCAATACGTTTTTTTTCAGGTTCTCTGGTTTCCTCTCTCCATAAAAATTGACATGTGAGTTGAGCGTTGTATGTTGTAAATATAGATTGTAGTGGAGGTGCATGTGGAGGGAACCTCACAAAATAGCCCTAGATCTGGGGAGAATGGTTTTAAAATATGTTTACTAATCAAGGCATTTTCATGACATTCAATGGGCAGCATAACCCTTGAAAACTTTGGGCTCAACAACATCATAAAAAGCTTTGATTGACATATCCACCAAAATTATTATTTTGTCTCTGGGGGAGACAGAGGATTGGGTAGCATCCCGGGGGGGGGGGGTACTCCCATATATGGACTATACGGGGATGATCCGCTGAACAGGGTATGGTTTTTCAAGCTTCTTGTCATAAACAGGATATGCAATTTCACTCAAGTTCCAAGTTCTTCCTGAGTTTCCTGTCGTATTCAGGGTTTCTACTTTTGTATTGACCGAAACTGGTTATTATGGTCATCAAAAAATTTTCGTATTGACCGAAACTGGTTATTATTATCGTAAAAAAATGATACGCGAGATGAGATGATAATTGAAACGGGAACTCAGTGCAATTAATGGTATCTTTTGTCATGAACAGGGTCTACAAATTTGGGTTTTTTTGTCATAAACAGGTACCCCTTTCAGAATCCCAGCGGAACACCCCTATACCCAAATGTTGGCGGAGTACCCCCCCGGGGTAGCATCTCATCCAGGGAGAGTATAGTGATTTTTGTGGTGGCTTTACATCATGTGTCAACAAAGAAATGTCACCCTCTAATTAAAGTAATAATGACACATTACAATTCACAAATCCAATAAAGCGATATTAACAATGTTAATTACCTTTGTACACTACTGAAATAGTGCCTTCAAGATTGATCATATCATACAATTCCCCCTCAACAACTGCAAAACAAAGCCATGGTTTACAAATAAAGGCCACATATAATTACAATATAGTCTGGAATTTATTAAGAGAACCCCTGTATCCCTCTTCCCCCGGGGAGGGGGGGGGGGTGTACTCCCATATATGGACTATACGGGGATGATCCACTGAACAGGGTACGGTTTTTCAAGCTTCTTGTCATAAACAGGATATGCAATTTCACTCAAGTCCCAAGTTCTTCCTGAGTTTCCTGTCGTATTCAGGGTTTCTACTTTCGTATTGACCGAAACTGGTTATTATGGTCGTCAAAAAATATGCGAGATGACATGATAATTGAAGCAGGAACTCAGTACAATAAATTATATCTTTTGTCATAAACAGGGTCTACAAATTTGAG